AATTTATTATGTAATGTATTATAATTTCGAATAGCCTGAAACTGAGTTAAAATGATAATGTAGATTTATGTTTGTTTTTTTGTAATTAAGCACAAAGCTACGCAATGGGCTATCTGTGTTCTGCCCACCACGGGTATTGAAACCCGGATTCTAGTGTTTTAAGTCCGCAGACATACCGCTGTGCCACTGGGGGGCATTTAGATTTATAAATGAAATAAATGTCGATATGATCCTTTTTTGATACTTGCTAAAAAGATTGACACACAATTTTTTTTGTACAACACAGTTTACAATAATAATTATTACAAATAATTATCTATGTACAAATGTTTTACTAACTTACAAGCAATATTTAGTCCTCTATCTGGTCTGGAACTTCCTTGATATCTTATCGAGGATTCACAATGAGCGAATTGATTTTGAGTAGATGTAGATACAATTCACTGTAACAGGGAACTAGCTAGTTCTGTGTTCTTCGTTTTTCACCGGCCACACACGCCGAGTTATCCACCGATGAAATTATATAATGTTTTCGTAAATATGCTAATGTCCAATGTGAATCCACATCAGTTAAATGGTTTGTAATATTCGAAATCTATAAATGTTCCCGGTCAAATAATCCCCAATTGATAAGCGCTATAACAATCACACTTATAGCTCCAAAAGTTTATAGAACACCAACTATAGCAAACCTATAATATATACTGTGAGGAGTGTTTCTCGAATTTTCAGCTTATGCAACAATATAAACGATACACCAGTGTTTACTTACACACATTTGTTGTTGACTCTTACACTGGAGAAGTTTCTACAATTTTAGTGAATAGGCGGGAATTTCGTAATACAGATTTAACAGTATAACTTATGTACATTTCTAAATATCAATTTAACTTAAACAAATATCGATATCATAACAGATATATGATAATAAATATTTAATCTTTCAAATAAAATACAACCAAAACATATCGGGACAGAGAGTACAGTGTCGCAAAGTACACGACAGTTTTAACCAATTGTTCATAAGATGTAACATTTAACAAAAAAGTTGTTAAGGTTTTATTTTCAATATTTGTTTCCCATAACCTTCCCAAGACAATGCTATATACTATCATGCATATTTTTTATTCTAACAGCTTCAACGCCTCGTACTAAGCTGTGTCCAGCACTGGCAGAAACAAATGGTCTTCGAGTACAGACAGGTAGGCTTGGCTCCTTGCCGGAGAAGTGTACCCAGTACTCCACTGCTGTGGTCGGCTGCAGAAGTGATAGCACCTTGGAATTTCTGACAACATGTGCATCTTATCGAGACTTGAAACGTGAGAAAATCCTGCTGTTTTGTTGTCATGTAAAAATCATATCTTATTAACATCACTATAAAAAAAGTGCCTTTGGTTTCTTGATATAAAGTCGAGAGTTTTAAGTAAATTGAAAAGTGTTTCGTACACTATTTTGAACTATTTAAATTGTATCAATATTTTTCCAATCATTAGTATACTCTAAAATACTTTAAATATTCTAAACACAGACAATAGAGCGTACTAATCACTGAAAAAATACCGATTCGGTTTAAATACTTCAAAGATAAACAATAGGTCATACTAGTTACTCTAAAATACTTTAAATATTCTAAAGACGGACAATAGAGCGTATTAATCACTGAAAAAATACCGATACGGTTTAAATACTTCAAAGATAAACAATAGCTCATACTAGTTACTCTAAAATACTTTAAATATTCTAAAGACAGACAGTACAGCGTACTAATCACTGGAAAAATACTGAAACGATTTAAATACTTCAAAGATAAACAATAGGTCATACTAATTACTCTAAAAGTACTGATAAACCTTAAAAGCTCCAAAGGCAGACAATAGACCAACTAGTATGACCTATTGTTTACCTTTGAAGTATTTAAACCGTTTCGGTATTTTTTCAGTGATTAATACGCTCTTTGTTCAAGGTAACTGAGATGAACTGTTTTTCGATTACACATGGGTAGAGAAAGACTACTACTATGAAACTCAGAACAAATGCTAATTCAACTTGTTCATATTTTTATGGAATGTTACGTTAGTATTTGATATAAGATAAAACCAATATAAAACCTCAAACATCGAACCTATTCTGATGAAAGTTACTGTCACATTAGCGGACATACTTCTCAATCACGACGAAATCTCTTATTGTCTTGTAATCGCCTACTGGTTCTTAATACAGTTTAACGATGTTTTGAGTTTTATATGACTCTTCCGCTAGGGAACGGATGTTCTATTGTTGCTTATATATGAAACATTAGTAAGTGTCTGTGAATATTTAATGTCTAAAATGTGAACATGGGAAGTATACGTAATACAGCATCGTTTTCCAAATTCAATTCACACTGATGATCAACAATTTTGAAACCAATTAATCTTATAAAAAACTAATGATTTTTATCGATTTTGTAACCAATTAATCTTATAAACAAACTTAATAATTTTTATCGATTTTGTAACCAATTAATCGTATAACAAAACTTAATAATTTTTATCGATTTTGTAACTAATTAATCTTATAAAAAACTTAATAATTTTTATCGATTTTGTAACCAATTAATCGTATAACAAAACTTAATAATTTTTATCGATTTTGTAACCAATTAAACTTATAAAAACTTAATAATTTTTATCGATTTTGTAACCAATTAATATTATAAAAAAATTAATAATTGTTTTGATCCAGCCCCCTTTACGGTGTGTGCTACGTGTGTTTATTAAAGAATTCCGAAACCAATCCAACACATTTGAACACTGAAACTGTGCAAACACAGACAAACATATATTCTTGAAAAATTTTTACAAATAATCCGTACCCATCTGCTCATATAATTTCAACCAAATAAGTCTAGGTTTAGCAGTAGGTATAAAAATAACCTTACGTACTAAGTTGGATCGTAGCCTACAGTTAGGTCTCTAATTAAATTATAAGGTAAGTTTATGTATGCATACGTCTTATAACAAAACAACGTACTAACAGCATTAATATATGACCAAACTTCTGAGCCAACGCAGTGACCAAACTGGCCCAGCGTGGTCAGGTGGTTAAGGTGCTCGACTCGCAATCCGGGTTCGAATCCCCATCACACCAAACATGCTCGCCCTTTCAGCCGTGGGGGTGTCATAATGTCAATCTCACTATTCGTTGGTAAAAGAATAGCCCAAGAGTTGGCGGTAGGTGGTGATCACTAGCTGCCTTCCCTCTAGTCTTACACTGCCAAATTAGGGACGACTAGCGTAGATGGGGTCTTGGTTAGGTGCAGGTTTAACGCCAGAATGAAATAACAATATGCAGAAATTACTTAGCTAAGAAAGAAGCTACTGGAGTCATTCAAATGATGCAATGCCCCCCACAGAGCCCCGATCTCGACCCATTTGAGCAGATCTGGGATTTGATAGATCAAAAACTTAACAAATCAAACGTTATTTCCAAAGAAACTTTATGGGAGTGTATTAGAGACATTTGGAGTAAAATCCCAAAGGACACTTAGATTAACTATATTACAACAATGCCTGAAAGACTGTCTGCAGTTATTAAAGCAAAAGCAAGACACACAAAATGTTAACTGTTTGCTGAACTCAAGCACTTCCACTGAGTTTTTGTTGTACTAAATATGAAGATTAATAAAATTTTGATGTTTAACCTGTGATTTACCTTCCATTGCTCTTTGAAAGTAGCCTGAAATCTAAATTTTTGACTTTGTCTTAACAATTTTGCACAGTACTGTAAATATACAACAGTGTGCTGTAAAAGTTCTACACACTTTGTGTAGGGTTTAGTTTCTAATTAAAAATAGGAAGAACGGGAGGTGATGCTTGATATGATAATTACTAGGCGCGTGAGTTTCTCGTTCATTTAGAGGTGTCTTTTGTAATGAAAGTTTTATTATCATTCTTTTACAATGTCCACCAGTGAGTCAACGATCAGTTTACTGAATAACAACGCTAAAATCTGGGACTCAGTTCCCCACCGGTGGACAGAACGCAGACACACTATTGTGTAGTTTCGCGTTAAACGAACCAAACAATTATTTTACAATACATGTTCCAGGTTGATGAACGGCTGGGATTAAGATCTGTTCTTGTATACATAGTTACCACAACTATAGTTTATGCCTAAAACTATTGTTGTTGGTACATTTTGTGTGAATGGATTTACAACCCAAAACATCAGCAGCAGCGCAGATAGCCAACTGAAAAGATAACGCAAGTTTGGTCACTTGTTTGTTTGTTTTGAATTATTTTTCTTTGATTTTTCTTTGTTTCGATAACATCAGTTTTAAATACTACTAAAATATTACCATTTTACCATTTTAGACACTGATACGTTTTACAGAAAAGTTCGTTTAACAAAATCTGTAAAACATCTTTTTAAACATCTTTCTTAATATAACGTAGAATTTGTTCCTTGTGTTTTATAACTGTTGAGTTTTGATTGTGTGCAGGTTCAACTCCAACATAGAATTAAGTCAATATTTATACCAGTAAACACACCTCAACAATTGTGAATAACTTGCTACTTACGTTTTCTAATTGTAGAGTTTCGGTTAAGTGCAGGTTTAAATACAATATAAGTAACGTGTTGCTTAAGTTATCTAAACGTGGGGCCTTGGTTAGCTGCTTGGGTTTTCTAAACGGTTTTCAAGTTTTAACTTTCATTTATAAATTTAATGAAAACGATAAATGGCACATCTATTTATCATGATCTGAACACTCTTTAGCAATCGATCTGATATAAATACATCTCAAATTAAGAAAAAAACGTTAAATTTATTTTGTATTAGTTTAATTATATATATATTTATTATTATTTAGGTTTCCAGTGTCATGGAACTTGGGAAGAAAAGGGCAGAACGTATCTCGTAACTGGACTTAGAGAATCACGACGAAAATTTTGTTTTGTAAGTACATGCCCGAGTTTTCTAGCTTTAACAGTTTAGATATAAGCTAGTTTCTCTTGGGCTTAGCTTTAATAATTTAATTATAAGCTAGTTTACTTTATGCTTAGCTTTAACAATTTAATTATAAGCTAATTTCTCTTAGGCTTAGCTTTAACAGTTTAGTTCTAAGTTAGTTTATATTAGGCTTAGCTTTAACAATTTAATTATAAGCTAATTTCTCTTAGGCTTCGCTTTAACAGTTTAGTTATAAGCTACTTTCTATTAGGCTTAGCTTTAACAGTTTATTTATAATCTAATTTATATTAGGCTTAGCTTTAACAGTTTAGTTAAAATGTGGTTCATATTAATCGATTATATAAATTTAAACTAAAACTAAAAACAAAGAAGGTTTAGCGCAAAGTTACATGAGGGATATTTGAGCTAGTCGTCCCTAATTTTGGAGTGATAGAGTAGATGGAAGACAACTAATTAGTTAACATCATCTACCGTCAACTTTTGGGCTACTCTTCTCAGACCAAGTAGTCGAATTCGACCTTTACTCTTATAACGCACCCAAAGTGCGAAGCGCAATTGTTTTTGCAGTAACGAGAAGCGAACCAAAGACTATTTTTTTGATTCAATCAGACTTCCATAGTTTTGCACATTAATCACTATAGACCATGTCAGGCTCAAATACTTCGAGCTTAAATTTCAATTTTAATTTTGAATAACTTTGATGTATGTAAGAAATTTGAATTTTTTGTATTTACAGAGTAGACAATTCAGGAAATTTCACCTTCTTAATACCAAATAATGAGGAATTACAAACGGTCAAATATACCGTAAAATGAAACACTGTTCAACTTCACTGACTTTTTATAATGTGAGATTTCTTAAAAATGAGTGGCCATAAGCTTCAGTCGCAAGATATGTCACTATCTCACAGTACTATTACACGTCATTTACTATCTCACAGTACTATTACACGTTATTTACTATCTCACAGTACTATTACACGTTATTTTAGCGCCATAATCCTAAATAATTTGCACTTGCGCATGGCACTTACGGCCTTTTCGATCCCTGCCGGGAGCAGTTAAATAGGCTTTAAGGGATTAAAGGGCGCAAATGTCGCCACAAACGGTAAATACTATGTAAAAATCACACTTTTATCATAGAAATAGTTCCTACTTAAAAGCGCAACTTGAGTCAGAAATAAAATGCTGCAAACCAAAGGTCACGATTAATGTTATCAAACGCCTACTCAAAGGGGGCGCCCTAGTTGGAGGGGTGGAAATGTCCGAGATGAACTACCTGATCAATGAATAGCCCCAAGACGCATTCGCTCGGGGAAAATAAATTTTCGCCTACCAAGAAGTAAACCACAACCTAAAGCTTTCGTAATAAGAGGAACTGACAAACACAAGCATTATACACACATAAAGTAGAGAGTCTTATATCAAGCAAAACGCAAAAAACAACTAATTTAATTATAATACAAGTGGAAGAAGCACATGATATCAGAGGCTTGAGACGTGACGAAACACAGGATATCAGAGGCTTGAGACGAGATGAAACACAGGGTATCAGAGGCTTGACACGTGATGAAACACGAGATATCAGAGGCTTAACACGTGACGAAAGATGGATATCAGAGGCTTGACACGTAACGAAACACAGGGTATTAGAGGCTTGACACGTGATGAAACACGGGATATCAGAGGCTTAACACGTGACGAAACATGGATATCAGAGGCTTGACACGTGATAAATACAGGATATCAGAGGCTTAACACGTGACAAACATGGATATCGGAGGCTTGACACGTGATGAAACACAGGATATCAGAGGCTTAACACGTGACGAAACATGGATATCAGAGGCTTGACACGTGATGAAACACAGATTATCAGAGACCTGATAACAAATGGCGTTATACTCTGGTACCAACGATTTCCAGGCCCTGGTGGTAACAAAATACTTTAATTGCCACGTTATGACCAAGTTGCCGCGGCATGTAAATTGCTCCCATGCTGCGTGGGCTGTGGGGTAGATCACAAAATAACAAAATGTAAAAAAAAGAAAGAAAAATAAACGCCACATTGTTGTACTTGCAATGAAGAACATACAGCTAACTATAAAGGAAGCATGATATACAAAATAATCAAAGCTCACATATACAACATTAGACATCCAACTCAAGAACAACCAACTAACCCACACCTACCTACTCAAGAAAGCGAACCACAACCGCCAAGAACATACGCCATTGTCACACGCCAAAATATACAAAGAGAAAAAAATCTATAGCAATGGACATTCAGAGAAAAAACAAAACACAAGATAACAACGACAAACATACAACGAAATAAACTGAACAAAACAACACAATGTCAAACATAGATTACAGAAATACATCTATACAAACAGTCAAAAACATATTCACGGAATTCATTGTAGAAAGCCAAAAATCCAAATAATACACAATATACCACAATGCCGCTAATAAACTTGGGAAAGAAACACCTATCACCACTATTACCTTATCTTATACAAACATTTGTGGGCTCATTCGCCAAATACATTCACGGCTCTGCATGTGAACATCCAAGGTGGACTTGTTTCCAAGAGACACGAGATCTAAGGCTTAATAGCATATACTAACGCAGATCTTTTGTGGTTAGGGGGCTTGACTCGAATCCCGTCACACCAAACATGCTCGTTCTTTCAGCCGTGGGGGCATTATAATGTGACATTCAATCCCACTATTCGTTGGTAAAAGAGTAGCCCAAGAGCTGGCGGTGGGTGGTGTTGATTAGCTGCCTTCCTTCTAGTCTTACACTGATAAATTAAGGACGGCTAACGCAGATAGCTCTCGTGTAGCTTTTCGTGAAATAAAAAAGCTATAAATAATAATAATTTAAAGTATCCTAGTTACTCATCCATAAGAAGATATATAAAAAGTCAAAATGCCCCAAACAGAGGTATAACCCTCTTATATAAACCAACGCTAGCTGTAACACAGCTAAATTGTAAGTATAGCTATTGACGTAATGCTCACAAACAACCGTAACGTAACAGTAGTGGCTGTGTACTGCTCACCTGAGAGAGATTTAGATACCTGATATCTACGTAATATTGTTAAACAAAATAAGAACTGTGTAATTACAGGTGATTTACATACCACTTTAAGGTGTAGAACAACCACAAGAAAAGGAATTAAATTATTAAACTTCATAAATGAGAATAAGTTGATTTTATAAAATGATGCTGCTCCAAATCACACAAGTGTTGTGCATTAAAATGATGATGCTCCAAATCACACAAGTGTTGTGCATTATACTAGTGATACTTTAGATACATTTTAAGATCATTAGATCTTAGCCATAAATGTACTAGTTTTCAAGTAGGCTATGATCTGGATAGTGATCACATATTTATCTGGTGACTCTTCGGTCTCGTCCCCCACCGAAACTGACAAACCTACCAACCGAAATTTAATTATAAAAAAAGTAAACTGAAGAGAGTATGTCAATACATTAAACAAATGATTACATACCACGACTAGAATGAACGACTATCAATGAACATTGTCAAACAATGAGTGCATCATACAATCAGAAGACAAGTCAATACAGAAACACCAACAACATGAAACAAATAACACCTGGTAACCAAATATCACTGTAATAAACATGATTAAAAACCACAGACAACTACAATACGTAAACACAAGAGACCCACTCCTTAAAACACAAACCAATACATTGAAAATAAAATAGGAAACGATATAACATTACTAAAGCAAGACAGATGAAACAATTTCTGTGCAAATTAGGTGATTATAACGATCCGAAACAAACAGCCATTATAATGTGAAACGTTTTTATTCCATCCCCTTCTTTGAAAGTTAATATATCTTTAGATTTACTAACTGAAACTTTTATCAACGTTCAATACTTTAATAAATCCCTACCAAACCTAAACATGAGTACAATACTAGGTAAAATATATTATTAATAACATATATAAAACAATCCAACACTATTTTTGAGGAAGAACGTTTTTCATACCTCTGTCATAGCCAAACTATCTACTAATTTGATTCTTCTTTAACAAGTATGGCATGCATCTTATTTCAGGTGTATTTAGATAAATATTATAGCTTTTCATACATATTTTTGCATGTAATTAATTAGTCGCTTTCGTAGCGGTACAGTAAATATATGTTAATCCTTTTACTCAATATATCACGTACACATTTCTGTATAGATTTCTAGAAAGGTAGCCTATTTAAGGTAATAGAGAGACCTGTACCAGCTAGCTTGAGATGACGTAGAGTTTTATGTAAACTGGTTGATGTATAAAAGTAACCTAAGAACTTATGGGATAAAGAACTAAGTAATTTCCCCGAGTTGATGTTTTTAAAACAGAATAGAAGGCTGGCCAGTTTGGTAGTGTGAACACTGCGGTGTCTGGATTTATTCATCAGGGTTATATTCTGTGTTGCTATTGCAAGTTTGGTATCGTTAACACTGTGATGTGAATACATCTAGACAATAGTAACACAGAACAGAAGCCCGATCAGCTTTGCAGCGTAAACACTGTTGTTTGAATAAAAATTTCATGTTTCCAAATTAATTTTTGGTTACTTGTTTTCCGGTGCTGTCGGTGTTCGATTTATCATTTGTTTAACACTCACGAACCTATATTTTGCAGATACTTGATTTATTGTTTGTTTAACACTCGTGAACCTATATTTTAAAGATACTTGATTTATCCTTTGTTTAACACTCATGAACCTGTGTTTTACAGATACTTGATTTATTCTTTGTTTAACACTCGTGAACCTATGTTTTAAAGATACTTGATTTATCCTTTGTTTAACACTCATGAACCTGTGTTTTACAGATACTTGATTTATTCTTTGTTTAACACTCGTGAACCTATGTTTTACAGATACTTGATTTATTCTTTGTTTAACACTCGTGAACCTATGTTTTACAGATACTTGATTTATTCTTTGTTTAACACTCGTGAACCTATGTTTTTTTCTTTTCTATCAGACACCACTTATCTGGTTACCACATTATTCCGAACATTGTTACTTGTCTTGAATAGTAGTTTTCCAAAATATTTCCCCATGCTAATGTTCCCAACGCGGGTTTCTTATTGTTTGGAGTCTTCGTTTTTGGTATATCCTAAGAGCATTTGGGATGAGTTTATTGTCTTAATATGTACAATATTGGGTATGTTGTGTTTTTCCAGTTTAACAGAACAGATACTTATATATTAGGGGAAAAAAGTAAAAATATGGCATTTTGTACTCTTCTTAAGATTAACATTAGAAGTGAAAGTTCCCAACAAACTTAACCTTATTGACACTGGTAACCGGTACCCTAGAGTTGCTATTATCCACAAAATGTTTAAT